TGATCTATCGATCTCATATCGATAATCTCGATCTTACGACTCCATATTTTATTTTAGCCAGTTGGCAGTATGTAGACGAAATAAAGACACTTCCTGTTTGTGAACACGAGAGAAGAGATCTGTGTGTGAAAATATAATTATTAATCGATTACACCACATAAAGAATAATCCCATATTTTCACCATCACCACTGCAAGACTTCCGCACAAGCGTCCATCACGGCACGAAACATTGGTCCTTCGAGCCGGATTTGGCGAACACTAGAAGTGCCGGGAATAAAAAGACGCCATTACGGAAGCTTGCACGAGGGATCTCGCTTTGCCGCCATTTTTTGGGAGTGTGGACACAACTTCGTATCCGAGAATACACGTACGCGTGTTCGTTCTCGCAGCAAGCCAACAAGAATCCGCTGGCTTCCGTCTCGGGATCTATGCACAGCCGCTCTCTCGCACGGTGCGAGACATTGCTGTCCCTCATCCAGGAGATCACGCTGGTCCTCTCGCTCTGGCATCAATCGAACAAGAATCTGCCGACCTTCGCCTCGGGATCTACGTACAGCCTCTTTCTCGCACGGCGCGAGACACTGCTGTCCCTCATCTACGAGAGCATGCTGATCACTTCTGTCGCATCAAACAAGAATTTACCGCTCGTCGTTTAAGGATAGACGCCACAGTTTCTTCATCACACGACGTCCTCGCTCTTTCTCTTTCTCTCTCTCGCAAGGCACCTCCTCTCTCACGACGCGAGACATTGCTGTCCCTCATCTACGCAGCCATACCATACCGGGTTGTCTCACCAGCATCAAGAATTCGCAACCGAGGCAGATCAAGAAGATAGACTTCACGCAAACAGGATTATATTTAAGACAGATAAGTGTAAATTAGGTTAAGTCGGATAATCCTCGGTCGAGTCATTAGAGACTGATAAATTGCGCATTGATAAGTAATATTTATGTTAATAACATGGAGGAAATGTCACAATTAGTTAAACAAAGAGGTAGAGTCAAGGCCAAGCTTACCATGTTTAATAGCTTTCTTTCGAAGGTCGAAGAAGAACCCGAGAAATTGGCAGAGCTATCTAGTAGATTAGAAAAGGCGGAACAATTATGGGTAGAATTCGATATGATACAAAATAAAATTGATGACATAGAAGATTCAATTGAGCAGCATGGAGAGAGAATAAACTTCGATGATGCATATCACTCATTAATTACTAAGGCCCGTAGAATGTGTGGAGTAGGACAATCATTTAATGCTCAAAATGTCCCGGTAAATGCACAACCTGTAATTCAAGGGGGGCAATTCGCATTGCGACCATATGTAAAATTGCCAAACATTGATCTACCAAAATTTGATGGAAACTATGAGCGATGGATAGCGTTTCGTGATTTATTCGATTCTCTGATCGCATCAAATCAAGCACTTCCTAATGTGCAGAAGTTACATTATTTACGATCTAGTTTAACAGGGGAAGCAGCCAAGGTTATTAGCGCACTGGAAATTACAAGCGACAACTATGCGGTAGCATGGAATTTATTAAAGCAAAGGTACGAAAACAAGAGATTGATTGTGCAATATTTAATTCAAATGTTACTTGATTTACCAGCTATTCCCAAAGAATCATGCACGGAGCTCAGACAATTGGTAGACAATGTTTCGCAATACACACAATCGTTAATAAAACTCGGACAACCAGTAGAGAGTTGGAGCACTGTAATAATACACATAGTGTTGCCAAAGCTTGATAAAGGTTCTCGTAGAGAGTGGGAATCGAAACGCGATGAAAGGGAAGAATTCCCTGCACTTACTGAATTCATAGAATTTATTGTTAATCGTAGTTCCTTTTTAGAAGCTGTGAATCGAGCGAATCAGAATGCGCAAAATGTGGCTGGGAGTCATGCTCGAAGCAACGGTAAACCGAATTCAAGTCAACAAAAAAATGTAACTCAATCGTACGTTGCATCAAATAATTCAGCATGTGTAACATGCTCCGGAGATCACAAATTGCATGAATGTAAACGATTCCTGGAGATGTCAGTGTCAGACAGAACTGCAGAAGTAAAAGGTAAACGTTTGTGTCTAAAATGTCTTAAAAGCTTCCATGGACGAAATTGTAGAGCATCAAGTTGTAAGGTATGCAAAGGCTATCATAATACGCTTCTACATAAATCTGAGTTCTCTAGCAATGAACAATCAAATAAAGAGAATGATAAGGCAGAGACAAGTGACAAGAACTCCTCTCGGCAGACCGTTGCTTCGAACATAACCACAACTTCCACGGTATTAAACCACTGTAGCATCCAAAGAAATCCACAGGTACTCCTTGCGACGGCTATTATTTACATTTATGATCGCAACGGAACCCCCCACGAATGTCGTGCATTACTCGATAGTGGATCTCAGTCCAACTTTATTACAAAGGAATTAAGTAAACGATTAAATTTAAAACAGGAATGTGCTCACACTACGATTATGGGTATTAATCATACTCCGGTAAGTGCTATTCAAAGAACTCGCGCATTAATTAAATCACGGGTAACTTCCTTTCAGTCAGAGATCCCATTTTTGGTTATTAACAAAATAACAGAACAGTTACCAATGGTTGCAATAGAAGATGACAAGTTTAAGATACCAACTAATTTACAGCTGGCAGATCCTACGTATTTCATTCCAAATCATATAGATATTCTATTAGGTGCTTCTATTTTTTGGGAGCTCATGGGCAGTAACCAAATTCGACGCGGCAGGCATGTACCTATACTTCAAGAAACTAAATTAGGATGGATAATCTCAGGCACAATACAGAGTAATAAAATGAAACAGTGTGACAATACATACTGTGGAATATCCGTCAATGCCGCACTTAACCAACAGTTAGAGAAGTTTTGGAAAGTCGAAGAAGTGGAGCAACCCATGCATCAGTCAGTCGAAGAAACACATTGCGAAGAGCACTTTCGGTCTACGCACAGTAGAGATAAAGAGGGCCGTTTTATAGTACAATTGCCCTTGAAAGGAAAGATAGAGGAGTTAGGGGATTCATTTAACATAGCGGAAAAACGTTTGAAAACACTGGAGCGAAAATTAGAAAGGCAGCCAGAATTAAAGGATCAGTATCATGCATTTTTGAAAGAATATGCAAGTTTAGGGCATATGACAGAGATTTAAACAGAAAAGGTACAGGATAAGGTAGCATATTATATTCCTCATCATGGTGTGATAAAGGAAGACAGTACTACTACGAAGCTGAGAGTCGTGTTTGATGCTTCGTGCAAAACATTTTCGGGAAAATCGCTTAATGACTTGCTTATGGTGGGACCAATTATTCAAGAGAGCCTGTTTGAGATTGTCATACGTTTACGGCAGCACAAATTTGCAATTGCAGGAGACATTACGAAGATGTACCGACAAATCAACGTAGAAAATGAGGATCGCAAACTGCAGCGCATACTGTGGAGATGGAGTAAAGACGAGCCTATCCGAATATTCAAACTGAATACAGTAACATATGGAATCTCGAGTTCACCGTTTCTAGCTATGAGGTGTCTTAAAGAAATAGCACAACAACATGCAGCTGAAGACAGCAGAGCAAGCAAAGTGATACAAAGCGACTTCTACGTGGATGATTTGTGGACAGGAGCAGATTCAGTAGATGAACTCGTAAGCCTTAAAGATAGAATTACTCGAATTCTCTCGTCTGCCAAATTTGAGCTCAGAAAATGGGTCTCCAACGCTCCAGGGATTAGCGAGCAGAGCAACAAAAAAGAAACGGTGCAATTAAGTGAATCAACAAAGATACTAGGATTATGGTGAAACACCACAGAGGATGAATTACAATATAAAGTGAAATTACAGAGCAGTCACAAGAAAGTTACAAAACGTATCATTTTAACCAGTGTAGCGCAAATTTATGATCCGCTAGGATTATTGGGACCCGTAGTAATACAGGTAAAAATTATACTCCAACAGCTATGGCGATCGAAAAGTGACTGGGACGAAGACGTTACAAATGAAATAAAGAAGCTTTGGATCCAGTGGGAGTCAGAAATATCTGGTGTTGAACATCTAGGAATCCCGAGAAGATTCTTGTGATAATCCGGAGAGAATAGAATTACACGGATTCTGCGATTCGTCAGAACATGCATATGGAGCCTGCATATATATTCGAAGCATTACGTCACAACAAGAATACACTGTTAGATTGATTTGCGCCAAATCGCGAGTAGCACCCATAAAAACAGTGTCACTTCCAAGATTGGAGTTATGCGGGGCGGCGTTATTGACTAAATTAGGCAAAGGTGTGTTACGAACACTGACAATTCGAATCAGGTGCATTACTGGTGTGATTCAACAATAGCTCTGTCTTGGATACCGGGCGAAGCAAGTCGGTGGAAATCCTTTGTAGCAAATAGAGTGGCCAATATACAACAGGATTCAGAAGGCATTCTGTGGCATCATGTAAGATCGCAAGATAACCCAGCTGACTTGTTATCAAGAGGAGTAAATCCCAGCAAATTAAAGGAGCAAAAAATCTGGTGGGAGGGTCCACAATTTTTGCATAAAAACTCGACTCTGGTACCTTTTAATAGTAAGAACATACCAGAGAATATAACAGAGGAACGAACAACGAGCTTCTTGGCTTACAACGAAAACAATTTTTACTCAGACATGATACAAAGATTCTCCTCATTATCGCGATTAACCCATGTAGCAGCTTATTGTATTCGCTTTAAAAATAATGCATTAAGACACACGGTACAAAAAAAAGGAACTCTGGATGTAAAGGAAGTAGAACAAGCATTGAAGATACTTATTAAAAGTTGTCAAGCAAATAGTTTTCCTCAGGAGTTGCACAGTTTACGAAGTCAAACTCAATTACATTCAAAGAGCAAGCTCTTAAATCTGCATCCATTTTTAGATCCAGATGGTATCATTCGTGTGGGGGGGAGGTTGCGTAACGCGTCTATAGAGTATACACAAAAATATCCTATTGTTTTACCTAAGAAGCACCATTTGACTAAATTGATAATTAGAGACATACATTACAAAAATTTACACGCCGGACCACAAGCAATTCTGACAATAATGCGTAACAATTATTGGCCGATCTCAGGAAGGGATGCAATTCGTCGTGTCTTAAGAAGTTGCGTAGTATGCTTTCGTATAAAACCTGTGAGTACAAAGCAATTAATGGGTGATTTGCCGGCTGTGAGGGTAACGCAAGCGAGAGCGTTTCTACATACTGGACTAGATTATGCGGGTCCGTTTTCAATAAAGATATCGCGCAATAAAACGAGCAAATGCTATTTAGCGATTTTTGTCTGTTTAGCCACTAAAGCGGTACATTTTGAGTTGGTGCTGGATTTAAAGGCAACATCATTTCTCAATGCAATGAAAAGATTTATCGCTAGAAGGGGTAAATGTGCCACTCTATACTCGGATAATGGTACCACGTTTGTGGGAGCAAATAATCAGCTGTTAGAATTGAAGGAGTGTTTAGCATAACAAGCAGTTCAAAATCAGATAAAAAACTATTGTACTAAACAATTTATTGACTGGAAATTTATTCCTCCATATTCTCCTCATATGGGAGGAATA